TACAAGTAGAAAAATAGTAAAGATACATTTTTTAATTATATTTAACAATAAGAAATTATCATGGATGTTCATTTAATTTTGAGAAATTGTTCAATATTGCAACAAAATTTCGTAATTTTAATGCTTCTTATAATTACAAAAAATAAAACCATGTAATAAATATGTAAAGAAATAATAATTAATATGATTAAGTTGTTAATAGAAAACAATACTTTTTATATAAAATTTAAAAAAAAATCAATTTTGAGAGTTCATTATAAAAAAAAAAATTAATACATATAAACAAAATAATAAAATTACGATAAAATTATGATAAAAAGATTATCATATATATATATATATATATATAGTTTTATCTATGTACGAATTTAATTAAACTAATCTGGCTTAGACATAAATCAAAGAAAAAAAAAATTTATGAAAATGATACATCAATTTTAACAAACTAAATTAAAAAAAATTGACATATACTAATAGGCAAGTTACCGTATTTATTTAAAAAAATATGTACGCTATGTAGAAAATATCGAAAATTAATATTCGATAAAAGATAAGATGTTGAAAAAATTAATATTTACAATTCAAAACAATGATTTCTGCTTAATTATATAATTAATTTTCAATATTACTAAGTAAAATAAAAAAAAGTATATATATCTTTATATTTATAAGAATATTAATACATTTAAATATATTTCATTAACGAAAATTTTTCAATTTATTAATAATTAAATAGTATTTGATATAATAGTTATGCCAATATTTTAAAGTCACGTTCTATTACTCTATTTTAACATGTTCTCTTATTTTATTTTGGTACATTTTTAATGTATTAATAACCTTAGTATAGATCATCAGATCGATAGAAAGTACTTTTAATAATTTTTTCAATAGATGTAATATTAAATCAATTCAAGCAGCAATGGGACAAAGCCAATTGAATCAATTAAATGTTTTCAAAAAAGAATAATTGAAAATAATTCCAATAGTATTTAATGCCAGAATTATTCGAAGCAATTTTTGTTTTTGTGGATGCAAATTTTATAATCAATCTTCATTTATTATGTTTTTTTCTAATCTAATATCAGATTTTTGATTCTAATAAACTCAGTTTTCAATTTTTTAATTTTTATTTTTAATTTTTTTTCCTGAAATTATTATTTTTATTTAGAGCATTTTTAATTATTGACTATTTCCTATTCATCAAGAATAATAACTTTCTATTTTTTATGATTAAATTTAATATTGAAGTTTTACAAAATTAATAAAATTACGAAATGCTATATTGATATAATTACAACATATATTTATTTAAACATAAAACTAATAATTCGTAATGGATCAATATAAAATGATTTTGAAGGACAGGCTGAGATAAAAGATATAGTTTAAATATAGTTCATCAAAGAAATTTTTTCTCATTAATAATTAAGTTTCGTTAATAAATATTATTTGATATTAGCGATTATTTTAAATCACTCATTCCATTGGTTTAGATGTTTCATTCTATTTTTATTCTATTATTAATATGCATTGAATTGGTAGATATGTATTTTTTGATATGTATTTTAAAATATATCTTATAATAAATCAATCCAAACGTGAATAAATAGGATCGTATCAATTAGATTCGCATTCCTTCCAGAAAGAAAATCATAAGCTCAACAGATGTGATTCATGATCTGTCAATATTACATCCATTCTTTTCATTATTCTTATTTCCTCAGGCAATTTACATTTTGTAATTATTAGCTCAAATAAATTAATATAAATTTAAATAAATTATTTTCGATATATGTTATAATATAAAAAAATAAAACAAATAATATAATATAATATAATTAATTATTCAATAAATATCAAATTTTATGACAACTTTATATAAATATTGTCTATGAACACTAATTACAAAATAATCTCATAAAGTTATTTTTGGTTTATGAGATGTCTTTCCTTCTTAATTATTAATTCTTAATAATAGTTTCTTATCTTGTAAGCATGACATGTAATACTGACATTATATCAAGCAATTCAATAACATAGTATATTTTATATTAAAATTTAAATAAAAATTTTCATTAAACGCATTAAAATAAAAACTTTTAACGTATTGTCAGCGATTGTGTATTACATATCTGAATAATGCCAAAAGATCATATCAAATTCTATTTTTGATTATCAAAATCTTATTACTATTGTCTTCATTCTTACAGTATTATTATTTAATGTTCTCTTCGGCCAACAAAATCAAGAATATCTGTTTGCAAATTCATACAGAATGGAAAGAAATATTATATCTTGACTGTTATATATGTTTTGCATTTTTGGATCGACGAAGATCTGTTGAAAAAAATTCCTAAAAAATCTTGAATTTCAAGATCAAATTTTTTTTTTTATTATTCGTCGTATTTTACTAATCATGAGAATAAAAAGTTTCAAAGGAATCATGAGTCGCAAATGATTCATTCTTTTGGAAAATAGTAAAAAAGTTTTATTGATGTTTTGGTTTATTTTATTTGCATAATATTTATATTTCGATCGTACTGAATGCGTGAATTGTAAACAATCCAATATTAGCGAAACGTAATATAAAAATCATATAATATAAAAATCATATAATCATATTTATAATGATAAAAAATATTTATCTTCTATTTCTCTTATTTATTCTAACAAAATACACATCCTGACAAATATTAATTACATACAATTATGCTTGTATGCAATTGAACAAGCTTATGATAATCAAGACGACATTTCCTATATATTGATTTCCGAATAAATACGGTTATATTCTCGCATATTTTTTCCAATAATTAGACTTTGTTCGTTATTTATTTGATTATTTAAAAGTGTTTGATTTACATTTTGTCGAGATGGATAATTTTTCTTAGAATCTTTTTATGTACAATCGAGATGCTTATAGAAAGTTCGTTTCAACCTCGTCACAAATTCAAATCATTTCAATTTTTCAGTTTCACTATACAATACTATTATTTCATTGGGGTAATGCAATATCACACAATTAATAACTTGAACTGATGAAAAAAAATCTAAACTGATTATGAAATGAAAAAAGAAATTAAACTGTCAACATTTAGCGATAGAAATACAGAAGACAAGACATATATTTATTATTATCATTTAATATAGTTTAGTATTCTTAAACATAAAAAAAATTTTTCACATAAAAAAAATTTAAAATTGATTTAGAATCTTCATATTGTTTTTTCAATTTGATTCATTTTTTAAAGATCTAATATTTAAATCAGTAGTTTACAGATGATATTTCCACAATATCATAAAACATATCAAAACTGTTAATATTAATAAAATACTCTGAAATGTAATCGATAGTAATAAAATATTTATTGAAATAAAAATTATAAAATATTATAAAAAAGAATTATATATTATATATAATTAAATATAAATCAAATTCTCTTAAAAATTATAATAATTTTATCTAATTATAAACTATTCAACTTCAAAATTATAACAAATCTATAAATCGCATTGTCTAATGCATTTTTCAACAACAAATAATTATATTCCACAAATTACATCTATTTCTTATTCGTCTTTCAGAATCACATAAATCAAAATATATAAAATAATACTTCGTTTTTTTTTATTAGATTCTCCTGTTTTTGTTATTTTTTTAATTTTTTCCTTTTCTTTACGTTATGTTTTTTGTTCTTCTTTTTTTTTCTTCAGATTTTGCTTTTTATTTTTTCTTTTTCAAAAATGTCAATACAAATGATCAATCTTCTTTTTTTTTATATCTATTTAAATCTTTTCGAGCTTTATTTTATGGAAAAAGATCTTACTATTTCTGATTTAAATTCTTCGTTATTTATTTGTTTATTCTGTTTAAGTTCTTCTTTCTTTTTATTCTATAACTCTTAATTTTTTCATAATTTGTCCGACAAATATTTGACAGGTTGGTATAATAATGATCGAATAATCTCAAGATACTTCTTTCTTAAACAGCATTTAGATGTTGATGTTGTACAGATTCTTACACTAATAGCGTATTGTTTGTATTGATGTTATTAAATCTTGTGAATGTTTTCTTCTTAGTTTTCTATTGACACGTTTTCATACAGAATGTTGGCAAGTGGGTTTGGATGATTTGTTGTTTTTGTTTTGTATCACAGAGGCATCCATTGCACCTCAACTACCACAGAGACGAATTGCAAACCTTCGTTTTTAACATAGATCTTTTAATCTTTTGCGCTCAAGGTTTTTTTCACTCCGGCAAACCCAGTAACTCGAGACGAATTTCCCACATATTTGGTGAACTTCTTGCAGTTAATTTGTAAAATTTTTAAATACCAATTAACATATAAAATTTTTATATTTTAATATTTCATGCATCTTTACATAAAATGCATCAAAGAAAAAATTTATTAAATATTAAACACGATATTTTTGCTTTATATGTTATTTTATATGATATTTTTATAAAATAATCGACACGATACATCCAGCTTGTTGGGACAAGTATCGCAATTTTTGTTTAATGATTATTTCGTTGAAAACAAATCTTTCTTAATTTCTGTTAGAATGCAAATTTTTATTCAAACGGAGTATATCGAAACTGAATATAGAAATAGAAGATCGATATATAATGAAAATTTCTCAAAGTTGATCATTCAAAGTTTTTTTTTATTGACTAAGAGACCGTTTCTATATTTTTTTATTAATTTATATATAATATAAAAATTGATTAAACATATCTCAAAAAAAAAATAAAAATGTAATTTACGCTAATATTTCAAGGACTTTCTTAGAAAACTGATCAACGCCGCTTATATATTTTATATAGTTTATAATAATATTCGATTTTTTTTACAGTAACATCAATCATTTCGTAAAATTCTTTTTACGCGAGTTATTTCCGCATTATTCCAAGTGATCAAAGATGTAACAATTCTTTTGTCTTTCCATGGCAAAACTAAAGTATTATTTTTAGTTTGGCGCTATGCTGTCATGAATTTTTTATGAAATTTTGATTTTCTTATTAAATTTGACAATTCTTTTCTATATATTAAAATCGTTCCAGTTAAATGACATTTCAGTTAATGTAATTCTTCAACTAATGTATAATTTGTATAATCTGTAAATTTATATCCTTGAGCATCAAAAGTTTTATTCAACAACATTTTGTAAAAATGTAATGGAATTTTAGTTGATCAATTTGATCAATTTTTATCAATTTCTTTGTTGTTATTGAAAGATCCAATAATAGGGCAGAATATCACAAGCATAGCCATTATTTGAATCTGCTATTGTATGAACTCTAATTTGATTGGTTTTTGAATAATAGCTAATGAATAATAACCTTTGAATATGATACTAGATTCATTCATATAAAACTTTTTTGTCAATATAAAATAATTTAAGAATTTTTAATTTATGTAAATATTACATAATCGAAGAATCAAACTTTTTAGTGGTAAACGCGTTCTTGAACTTGTATGTATCGAAATTATTTTCAAACGAAGCATCCAAAAAATCTGTGTCTTGTGAATATTGAATGAAAAGGAATGTAACTAATGTTATTTCTTGACCAATACTCTTGTAAGTTTACTAACAATATAGTTTCCATATTTATTATTACTCCAATAAATATTCAATTACTCAAATAAATTTTTGGATGGTTATAAGCCAAATTCGCTTTATCGAATACGATGATAGTGTCTTTTCTAACTTTTTATAACATTTTTATAATTATTTGTTTTACATACTATTTCATTGATGAGTTCATCAATGAAAACAACTTAAAAAAATCTAATGATTTATTTATATCTGAAGATATTTGCGATTTTGGCGAATTTTTCGCCAGACACTAACTGTATTTTTCGTGATATATATTTTTCAATTCAACACACATTATTCATTCTGAACTTTCTATGTCTTCTGCGATATTATTATTGCTTTCATTGTCTATTAATTTTATTTTTCAAATTTTTACATCTTTTATTTCATTTCTTTCATCACTTTCCTTCCCTCTATCATCAATTGCTTTGTAGAAATAGAAATAATTTCGTCACCCAATTCAAAAATTAACAAATTTTCACTTGAATTGATTTTATTAAGTTCCATGCTTATAAGACTCAAAAATTTTAAAAATAATATTTCTAATGCCACAACTGCTTCGAAGATTCAATTCGAAAATTTTATGATCATTTGAAAATGTATCATTTTATACTTCGTAAAATTATACATATAGAATTTAGAAGGCCATTCACTGAATTTTTAAAAGAAATCAAACATAAATAAACATTGTCATCCCTTGTATGAAATCAAATACAAGGGATGAATACAAACTTAAGAATACAAAAATTTAACTATTCTACAAAGAATTATTGATGCTTCCACTGTTTTTGAGATATGATTTTTGGTTATTGTTCTCCATAATTACATAGATCCTGATAGATTGATAATGATTTTGTAAATTAGAAGTTTGTTTTCAAGATTTAGCTTCGATTCAACAACGCAGCAGCTTTCAAATAATCTTTATATCTACGTATAGTTTCAAATATTTGACTATTTTTTTTTGTGGAATTTCGTTGTTATGTAGAACAATTCTTGATATCTTTGCTCTGTAAAGTGAAAGTTATGTGATCGTACTTGTCGTTATTTACTTTTTTCTTTTGTGCAGACAGACATTTTTTCAATAAATGTATATGTTTTTACAGAATATTTATTTTTTCTTTTGAATTTTGATGTATTACTAATATTTCGATGTCATATGCAAATGCATTTATTGAAACATCTAACGTTGTTGAGATGTTCGTTGAATAAAGAGAATAGAAAGTAGGTTCTAGTATATTTACTTGAGATACTCCAGCATTGATAAATTTTATATTATTAGAATATGAATTCCTTATTTTTAATGTAGAATATTCTATTGATAACATTTGAGAAGCTTCTTCATGACTTGTAATATAAATCTTATAAAAGGTTTTTTTAATATATCAAAATAAAGCTGAGAAATATTGTTCGTTTTCAAAGGCAATTATGATTTATTTACTATTTTGTAGATCAGTTCTGATAACATGTTTTTCTCTAAAATCAAATTGGTGATCTGGGATTGTTTTTTTAGTTGTTTTTTTACGATTATTTCCTTTTATCTGACAAGAACTATTTTTTCAAGAATTTTGTACACTTATGTATATTTTTGTTTGGTTTTGGTTGCATAATGATATGAGTCAATTTTCAAATATTATAATTTGATATTATATTGTTATCATTCTTATTACTTTATGTAGAAGATCTTCGATTATTTTTACATTTTTTAAATCATATCTCGAAGTTTAGTTTGTTTTGATTGATTTGAGTTGTTTAATTTCCCTTTTTAATAAAAGTTTCTTATTCAATAATTACAATCTATACTGCCGCTCAAACAAATAAAAGTCTATCCAGTGAGTGAAAAACTGCGTTATATTGTGCTGCGTGCAGCACATTTTATAAGGTTTTTCTCATTCTATTGATGATGGTTGCATCATTTGAATGAGATCTACTAGCTTCTCAAAACATTTAGAAACATTATAACAAGCATTAAAAAATATTAATTAATTTTTCAGTGATCTATATTCTTCAATTAAATATTGTTCATTATTAGAAAGAAATCTCGCGAAAGAAATGCGATCTGAGTAATTAATTTGGAAAGATTATATTCATACAAAATATTCACATATTTTTGGTTATGTTTTTATCGAGATGGACATACATATTAATTCAATTATGCAACAGAGTGGGACTCTATCTATCAAATAAAGTTTACCAAAACAATGTGAATCTAAACCTCAATACATTGACATAGGCATAGAATTCGAAATATTTTTAAGTAACGTATCAATATAAAAATATGTAGGATAATTATAATTTATAATAATAATTTAATTTAATTTATAAATATAACTTAATAACAATAAAAAATTTATAAATATAATTCAATAATAATAAATATTTAATAATATATATTATATTCACAATATGTTACGAATATTAAATATAATATGTAATTCTATTGCATAATATCAATAATATAATAGAAAGGAGTTCATTTTAGCTGCTATTATTGAATTATTCTATAACAAATTTATTCAGGATTATATTCATTTTTATCATAAAATATAAATTTTATTTATATAAATAATTTCACAAACATAACCATCTTCTGAAATCTTGCTTTTAATAAAATCATTTTCTGAATTATCTTATAAATTTAAATTATGTTGACTATTTGACTAGTTTGATCTTTTTTCTAAAATTTTTTTTCTACCTTTTTGTATATAATCGCAATATTTTTTCCAATCATTTGGTTTATGTATAAATCATATATCATATTAATTTCTATGATTTAAAATTCATTTTTTTGATAATGAAAATTTTATATTCTCTTAAATATTTTTTAATCTGGGTCTAAACTAATTGAATAAGATTTAATTTACATGTATAATATAAACATTAATATATTAAATCTTTTTGACTTTAATATTTCATCAATTTTATAAGTTATTTCTTTTTTTTTGTTTTTAATCATTTATTTATTTCTATGAATTCATATTTTTTCATGTTTTATGAATACGGAATATTATTTATTAACCAATTAATCATAACTTTTGTACAATATTTATTTATTTATTATTTAATTCAATGGAATGATATTATCCATTATAATAATGGATTATAATAAGCAATTAGATATTAATTTCTCATTTACCCATTTTTCAAAATTATCTGCATTTATTTGGCCATAATAATTGTTCATTGTTATTCGTGATTTAAAAATTAAATCATCATTTTTTATAAATCCATTTTTTCTTCCACATACAATCAAAAATCTTATTATTTTTTAATATCTATTATTTCTTCATTCTGCCAACATTTTTGAAAACACATTGTATCTATCTACTCACGTTTTTTCTATATATACAATATTTCTATTTTGAAATCTATGTTGAATTTTGATTCAATATTCTTTAAATATTTTAATCGTGGTTACAATATTTGATTTTTCCACTAAAACTTTTCGATATTATTATTATTTTTTCATTTAATACTCATATTTTCAAGCAATCTATATAATGAATTAAGTTTCCAAGGAAAAGTAATTTTTTCTTTAATGACTATTAGTAATTTGTTAGTAAATATAATTTTTTTTTCTATGCAAAATTGGTAAATTAATTTTTTTTATAATAATATAAAAATTAATAATTTTTATAATTTTGTCTTCATCGGAATAACGAAATTTTTTTATATTCTTTTCTTGGTAATTTTTTGCCTGGTGATAACAATTATTCGTCTTTTCTATTATCTATATTAAATCTTCTTTTCAAATTCTAGAAATTGTTTTTATCAAAACATCAACGTAAAAACTTTCTTTACTTCTTCATCACTTTCTTATTATTTGACGAATGACATTTCGTGCTTCACTGTGAATCGTTTGTCCTTGTTTATGCTTCATAATAATAACGAACAACAATAATAAAAGAATATAAAATTAGAAATGAAATAGTTACAATTTTTAAAGATAAAAAAATTCACGTTGATAATTAGCAGAATCCATCATTCTCAAATAAATGTAAACAAGTTTAGTTTGTAATCTGATAATTATCTGTTTTTTTCTTTGAGCTCTTACTCACTTTGATATTTTTTAATTTAGTTTAATCGTGGGATATTTGGTCACTATAGAAACTCTAGAAAATTAATTTGCACTACATGTTCCTTTTTCACATTAGACATTTGTAAAAATATTTTTTTGACAATTTTCAAAATTATATTATAATATAATATTAATATTAATATTATATTAATATATAATATATTATTCGATTATTATATTCTTATACATTATTATATTCCTAATTTTATGAAGAAAATTTAATAAGATATTGGTATTTTATTTTTTTTTAATTCTTATTTAAAGAGATTTCTATTAATCTAATTTTTGTTAATAAAATTATATTTTTATTATTATTATTATTTTATTTTATTTTATTTCTTATCTTTATTTTTTATTATTATATATTTTTTTGTCTTATAATAAATTAATAAAAATTACTAATAATAAAAATATTTTCTATCCTATTTCTATTTTT